AAAATTTCAGCTTTCTAGTTTTCCTGGCTCCTGAGTTAGCAACTTACTGGAAAAAAACTTTCACGGACCCGCAGGTGGTAGCACGCATACCCCATCTCTGGGTTTGAGCTCGTTGAGACTTGGACAGGGAACATCCACCTAAAACTACAGCCTTCTAGCTTTTCAGGTCCTCGAGTTAGCAACTTATCCGAGAAAAACTTTGGTGAGCCCGTGCGTGGGTACCACGCATATCCGAGAGCTCGGTTTGAACTGAATGAGACTTAGGTGAACGGGGAATATCCTGTTAAAATTACAATCCCTTAGTTTTTCAGGTACTCGAGTTATCAACTTACCCGAAAAAAACTTTGGCGGGCCCGCACGTAGGTACCGCGCGTAGCCTAGGACTGGTTTGAAGCTCATTAAGACTTACGTGGACAGGGAACGTCCCCGTAAAATTTCAGCATTCTAGCTTCTCGGATCCCCGAATTATGAACTTACCGAAAAAAATTTTGGCAGACTCGCACGTAGGTACCACGCATACCCGGAGGCTGAGTTTGAGCTCATTAATACCCATTTGGACGGGGAACATACCCTTAAGATTTCAGCCCCCAAGCATTTCTGGTTCCCGAGTTTACAGCTTCCCCGCAAAAAATTTCGGCGGGCTCTTACGTGGGTACCACGTGGGTAATGGCGCCCATTCTGGGAATTGAGGCGTGCATATAGATTAAGTTCCCAAAGTTCCAGCCCTGTAGCTTTTGTAGGTCTTGAAATGAAAAACCGTGACAGACGCACACACGGACACACAGACACACAGACGCACAGACACACACACAGAAGACCCTTCGTCAGTATGCGTTTTCCGCATTGCATAGCTGCAAAAAACGCATAAAAAGGAATCGTTTTTAACTATGGTTTCTTAACTGAGGAAGAATTCGATGAGTTGTGACATTTGTTGTGTTATTTGAGTATCGTGTTTTCTAGATTGTAACACTGGGTTCAAGTGAGGTGTCATTCCTACAAATTCGAGGATCAGTCCCGCTTTTTTGGGAACAGCCCGGTATCAATGTTGGCTCTCATAAGGTGAAATTACGAGCATTCGAGGCCTCCGCGCCGGCATTCAGCAGGTACGTCTTTCTATTTAGATGTTTTTTGTCCGGTTTCGCATCCAACCGTGTGCATATTAACCTCTGGGGAGGGGTACTCAGAGAGTCGCAAGGGAGCGATACTGAAACTGTCCATTTGGGAAGAGAAAATGTGAAAAATTGAGTTAAATCAAATAGCGAAAAATTTATCTGGATGGGTGAGGCAAGAGGTGGTGCTTTTCCTCGTTGTTTTGGCGGATGTGTGACGTTTCTTCAATTGTTTGTATGGTCGTTCAGTTCCCTTTTCTGCCC